TGCTCCGGGCGGCTTCGCGTCCCGCTGCGATGCCCGGGCTGCTCCTGGCCCCCGAGCTCTGTCCCGCGGGTGCCCCCCGTTCTGCAGGCGCTTTCACCGTCCGGTTCCGCTGTGGGGCTGGTGTTGCCGAAAAGCTTTTCTGTCAGGACCAGAGGTATGGCTTTTGGTTCTGCCGTTAAACTCCGATTTAAATTTCTTGGAGGTAGATTTGGTGCTTTGCAGTGGCTAAATCGCAATCCTGCCCTTCCTTACCTTGCACAGCCCCAGATCCCCGGTCCCTCCGTCTCCCCCGGGCGCCACGCTATCTCCAACATACCCTGTCCCTATGGCAGCATGCGGGATGCTCCCGATCCCGTTTAGATTTTAATAGGTACATAAAGAGTTATTTCCCGAAATGACTTGGAATAAGAAGGAGCAGCAAAAAATAAAAAATAAAAATACAGAGACGCTTGAACACGGTGAAACTATAAACGTATGGGGAAGCGCTAAGAATGTGGAATGGTGTTAAAAATGTGGGAGCACCAGTTTCGGGGCGTCTTGGTGTTCTGTTTTATGTCTTTCCTAGCGACTGAGATTCCAGATACGCTTCTTAACTTCCCATTGGAACATCCCAGCAGCAGCTACTGCCTTTTTTAAAGAGATTTTTGCCAAAACAGGCCTGATTGCCCTCACGGACCTGTGGCTGTAGTGGAGCAAATGGTGGGGAGAGACTGAAGAAAAACTCAGCCGGGGAGAAAATGCATCCGCAAACAGCGATCGCTTCAAGCTGCAAGGGAATGCTCAGGCATCAAAACCGGGGTTATTTTCTGCACAATTAAACTGGATTTTGTTTTCTCGGTATTTCACGGAAGCTGTCCTCCCGTGCAAGGTGCGTGTGAGTGAGCAGCCTGTTGTCCCCGCCACCGGAGGCTCCCAGGGGATGCCCTGCTACTGCTTCCTGGGCAAACCTGACTCCGGTTTGTAGAGGGCAATTTAAACTGCAAAGCGGGGCTTCAGGTGATCCCCTTTTGGCTCAAGATTAAGTGTAAACCAAAGTTGAAACTGTAGCATTACTTGGCTAATTCAGAATTCTGTTTTAACGTGGACTTCTATTTTTCGGGAGTAAATTCTGCCTATGATCTCTGCAGATGTATTCTGTGGCTTTATTAAATCTCTATGCTGAATGTTTGCAACTGGGCGTCGGGACTACGTCGTATAACCACAGAACTATTTATTTGCATGTGAAAGATGCTTTTTTAAAAAGGGAGAAAATCGAGTGCTCCTCTTATATTCTAATTGGACTTTTTTTTTCTTTGTGGATGATGATTTGTGCAGCTGGCAAAGACTGGTAACCACCTTCAGCCAGCTGGAGGGAGAGCTTCCTTCTTGTAGTCCAGCCTGGACACGAGCTCGCAGGTTAACGGATGAGGGTAACTTGGCGATGCCAAATGTTTCCAAGCAAGCATGAATTTTAGAACGGGACCCTGCAGCCTGAGTTTCCCTTGCCGGTTGGAAGGGGCAATGGATTTCAGGGGCTGCCTGAAGTGGGAGATGCGAGTCTGAAGCTGCAGTAAGCTGCAGCTGAGAACGTAACATCGCGAAGTAGGTTCAGCGTGTTTCAACATCGCAACAAAAATAGCGTAATTCTCTTCCTGGCCCCGATAGTTCTGTACATCTAAATCACTATCTTGAAAAAACACGTCCTGGCAAGGTGCGTCATTCTCTCCACTACATCAGGTGAATTCAGGAACGTCAGAGAAAGTCCCGTTCTTCCTGGCTGCATCCACCACGCCAGCAACGCGTTCAGCTGCTGCCTGTTTTATCCCTACACAGCGGCAGGGTGCAGCACTAGAGAGGTTCCTCTGGTCCCAGCACCAACTGGGCGCTGCACAGACCCAGAGCTCCCCTTTCAGCCCTGGAAATTGCTGAGAAAATCGTGAAATCAGTGAGACTCCCGCTTGCTGCAGCTGAATTCTTTTGGGCTGAGGCCTTGCAGAATCCTGAGTCTCTGTCACGTTTAAGCAGTTGCATTACATGCCCAGGAGGATTTCAGAAACGTGGTCTTTCCTCTGGTTGCCAGGCTGTTTATATCTAGTTGTCTTAAGGTGCTTCCATTTGCAGTGTCACTAGTGCTCGAGCAGACCCGGACTCAGACTTCTTGAATTCTGTGACCTAATGGTGCAAATCAGTTCAAGAAAGTGATGGAAAATAGGTGCAAGAGATCAGTCTGCCTGACGTTAGCCCTGTAGGATCAGTTAGGGCACTTGCTCCAGGCATTGTGTGACAGGAGACCAGGGATAAAAGAAAAGAGGAAAAAAGGAAAGGCGTTGCCCTACAAGCTTTATTTTTGTCTTATCAGAGAACTCTTTAAATTAATCTCCCCTCCTTTCCTCCTCCACAAAAGAAAACTAAGCATGTAAAAAAAAAAAAATCTGATATAGTCTTGTTGGCTTCTGTGGTGAAAAGCTGTACAAGATTTCTTCCCGTTTGCAGCAGGACAGAGTAAAGTTGTTCCTTTAGGTAACCGATAGCTGTTGCAACGTGAGGTTTACAGCTGCCTCCCACGAACAGAAGACTCGTTTCAGCTCACAGAGGGAACGGCTGCTGCGTTGAGAATGAACAGCGCAAGAGTGAATGAAAAATGTTTGCATAGGAATTACATCCTCTTAGGTTTCATAACTCAAGCCCTCTTACATAAATGCCAGCACATTCGGTTTAGAAACCAGAACAAGAGAGGGCACCTTAGGGCTTCCCGGAGCCCGTGTGTGTGTAGGAAATAGAGGGCTTCACACCAGCGTCCTCTTCAATCACAGCTCGCTTCTTCCTCCCATGCTGCCTTAGGGCTTATCTCTCACCCCTTTCGTTGTGGCTTGTGGTTTTATCAAGGGCACCATCTCAATGGCGTCTGCAGAGGGAATCAGAATTTTAATCTGATGCCTTTTTTTGTTTTTTTCAGTCAGTTGCTGGACAAGGTCCCGAATGATCGGGGCTTGGTGGCACTAGGATGCTGGGGGCACCTGAGTGGTGACTTAATGTGGAATCACCGAGTGAAACTACTTTTCTGCTCACATAATTCATATTGCCGACGCTGTACTTTCTTCCTGAGCAGGTATTTGTGGTGATAAGATGGAGCCTTCCCCATTTAATAGAAGACAATGGACTTCACAGTCTTTGAGAATCACTGCGAAAGAGCTTTCGCTAGTCAACAAGAACAAGTCATCAGCTCTTGCGGAGAGGTTCTCCAAGTAAGTGCCGTGAGGCTGCCGAACACAAGCTGTGTCTGTAGGTTGGCAGCTGGTACCCTGACCAAAGACTGCTTCACTGCCAGTTGCTTTACATCTTAAAAATAATATAGCTCTGTAGGTGTTTACGTTTCTGGTTTAATAGGTGCTGGGCAAAAGTTTTTCGGGTTGCTGACGCAATATTGTTTCAGCCATCAGAATTACAGTAACTTTTTTCTGCTGTCAGAAAATAAAGTAGAACGTTTTCTGTCAAACTACAAATTGCAATTTGTTTCTGAGGCCCGAGGGTTGGAATGTTGGTGTCTATTGCCAGTAGGGTTTTACTTCATCAGAACTGGTCTTTAACTGCTTGAGCGTGAGCTACGTAGGCGTCTCTAATGCCAACACCGCGTTTCCCACCGGGTACTACACAAAATAGCAGTAATGCTTTATCAGTGAGTTGGAGACCAGGTAGTTCTGTCAACTGTGGGTGCTTGGTGTAACCCTCTGGTAAGAGTTCCGTCAGGGAATTTCACGGTAGCCGTGTTCTTCACAGATGTCCCCTTCCAGATGTCTCGCAAAACTTGTGTGGAAAAGGAATATTACCATTCCCTTTTCTCTGAGAGATGGGTGATGGGTTACAGTTGAATCATAAAGCAATCTTTGATACACTGAGAAAGCTGCGTGGTGGTAGCCTCTACATGTTTTCTGGAAAAGCTTTTATTTCCTTAAGGAAATACATAGGCTACAGCTTGGATTTTCAATGGGATTTGGGCAACCACATCTCCTGGGCTCTTGCATTAATAGCACAGCAATGTTTTGGGGCATTTAAATCCATAAAACTTTATGGAGTCTAGGGGAGGAATAATTGCAATCTGGACTTCACACAAGTGCAGCTCTTTAAGTGACTCTTTAAGTGCTCTGTCCAAAGGAGAAGCTGCTTGCTTTGACCACTCTTGTTAAGGTAATTTATTCACCCATTGAAGCTTGATTACAAAACCTGGTCATCTTGCTAAATGTTGATAATCCTTTGAAAAGGGCTTACTGGAAGTAATCCAAACTGCTATTCCTTAATCAAGCAGGGTCTCTCTACACAAGCGGTGTCAGTTCCTTGGAAAAACGCAGTCCTACTTACTGGCGTTGCCAACACCAACACTCACAATGAGGAGCGTAATTTTTCTAAATTGCTGTTCCTTAAATATTTGTATGTGAAAACATTTTTTTTTTTTCATCCCATATAGTGTTTAGATTATGAGTTTTGTCAGGTCAGAGACATGCAAATTGCAACAGCAGAGACTTAAACAGTGCGCTGTGGTGGGCTGGCTTGCGGGGTGAGTGCTGTCTGGGATTCTTCGATCCTTGTTTGTTTTCCAGCGTGGTACTTGACTTTCACCCCCATATCTCTGTTACTTCTTCCCTTATTGATCTCTCTTCCTCCATAAACTTCCTTTCTCAGCATGCCTCATTCAAATTTTGAGACCTTTATAGTACAGAGACATAGGTTAATATGTCTGTATTGATTAAAGAGGGCCAGCTACGTTCCTTTACCAGCTTTCAGCCTGCACTTGTAGAGCAGAAGTAAGAGTACAATTTGTCCACTCTCTAGTGTAACAAGAGGATAGATCTATGTAGGAGCAGACCATTCACAGCAGGAAAAAAAGGAATTGTTATAAAGAAAAAAATGAGTAACAGAGCAGGTATCTGCATGTAAGAATTTTTTTCCTGGCAGGAACTAAGCCCATGATATACATTAGTTACTGGTTTGATACCAGCAATGATTTAAAGTCTGATGACTATTGTGACTTTAGCGTCTCATTTACTGCCTGTAGCATATTCACAGTCGTGTCAGAAGTAGAATTCCACAGATGAGAAGGACAGAAACATCATTTCCCCGAGCAGGCATTGGGTGATGTTTCTTCTCTTTGAAAAGCAGAGCTCTACTTACAAATGGCAAAATTTGTCACATCTGGCTCATTTGTGCATTTCCAAAACAAAGCGCAATCACCTTGCGCAGCGCAGTAATCAGCACGGTCTGTGTGCTGCTGGCTGGGGATGTACTTATGCCCGGTGGAGTGGTGTGCAGATTGCTGGGAGTTTTCTATAGCTTCTTAAAGGACTTTGATTCATGATCCAGGGTGGCTTATCTTCAGAGGGCTGTGATTACTGTTTCCACTGCTGGGATGGTTCAGCTGCTCATGAAGCAACTGCTGAATTGGTGCCGTTTACAACCCAGCATAGTAAAATAAACTGGCACTTATGTAGATTTTCTGCTTATGCCAAGCTGTAATTTGTTACGGTTCAGCAGCTGCTGTATAAATAGCCGAGTTATTCCTGCAAGGGGGCACAGCAGACAGCTGGGTGGCGGAAACAATACAGCTATTCCAAGGTAAACGGTCTATATTTGAGAATCAGAGTGCTTAGGTAATGAAAAATATTAACCTATGCTATTATTTTAAGCCATATGACTTAAAATGTGTCTATCACTTTGCATTGTTCTGGTACTGTCTGCTACTATTTTTCTAGCCCTTGGTTTTATTTGATAGGTCTGGGGAGTGGACAGAATCATTGGTGGGGGAAAAAAAATCTCAGCTGGCTTCAAGAGCATTCAGTATTCTGGTTAAAAAGTGATTATGGTTTTTTCTTTCTTTGTCTCTCCTCTTTCTCAAAGGTATCAGAAAGCAGCTGAAGAAGCCACTGCTGAGAAAAAAAGAAGTGTAAGTATTTGTTTCGTAGGCAGTAAGCAACAGCCTGCAATCAGAACGGATCACCTGCATGCAATGTTTCTCTGACAGTTGATTTTTGGAATATCAAAGTTGCTGCCATGTGTCCTACAGCAAACTTGGCTTAGATGTAGTGTTTGCTTTTGACTCATTCCCCCTACCCTTTCTCAGTGTGAATGAAAGAAAATCAAGCGCCTTGCCCAAAGCTGGATGTTGAATCACCAATTCGCTCCTAAGCAAAAGGCAAAGCGAGTTAACCACAACACATGAATATCTGCCTCTTTGTTCTTAGCTGTAGGCAGTTGTGTGGTACCTCGTCATTTCAGAACTAAATTTAAAGGTCTGCTTAAAAGAAGCTATCAGCCTCTCTGAAATCAAACTTGTACAGCTTTGATAGCTTTGATAGAATCCATTAAGGGGCATCTTCTCCGAAGGGGCTTGCAGGGTTCAAAATGCCCCTGGCTGAGGGAGAGCCATCCTTTTTGGCTCCGCGACAGCCTGGCATTCCCTCCTGTAAACTGCATTGCACGTGCTGTTCTGGGGTCAGGGGACCCTGGCTGAGATACCAGGCACTAAGATTGCAGGTCTTTGTATGAGCAGATCCTCAGTTTAATATTTTTTTTATTTAAAAAGACCGGTCATATTTTCAGGATATATAGGTAAGTCTTTATTAGACCATGCTGCCGTGATCTCTTTAATGCCTGGGGAGTCATTCTTTTTCTGTTTGGGATATAGGTGTGATAAAATAAGCATTCTAAAAATAACTCTCCAGTCTTGAATTTTCTTCACCGCTTGCGTGATCAGGGAACAGGCGAGTCCCAAGCAAGAATGACTTGTGGTTTTGAAATGTGATGGGACTCCATAGGTGTCACGTCCAGAGGTATTCCTGGGGAAACCTTCTGTGGAATTTTCAGAACTTCTGTTACATGACAACATTTGCCTTACAGCTTTAGTACTTTCTTCTGAACACAGTCAGCAAGCAAGCTGATCTTTTTGGAAATCTGGGTGGATTCTAGTTAATTTGCAAAGCAGTGTTCAAAATGTGACCAGAAGAGTAATAGGGTGAGAGACTTAAATCCTAATATAGCCGCTAATCCTGTTTAATTCCTGTAAGCCTTGCAGGCCTGTTCCACTTGCAATGAGTTTGATACATGGTGATCTCCATAAGGGAGAGACAGCAAAAACGCAGTGGTGGCAGGTATTAGATTTGAATGAATCACACATGGGCTGGTCTGTTACTCTGGGGAGAGGTAATTCTTTGTAAGCAAAACTAGTATGAAAAGCACTTGGAATACGAGGGGTACTGCTGCTCCGTGTATTACCGTCTAACTCACAGTGGCAAGGCAGCGCTTGTGACTTGTGTGCATGTTTCCTGCCGAGAGCTTTCAATGCGTTGAGTGAAATAGAAGAAAAATTCCAGCAAATGATCTGGTATTCATAAATGGGAGCAAAAAGACATTTGTTGTCAGTGCTTAGCTTAAGCCTTACACGGCATAGTATGAAATACTGAAGACAGACCTCTTGTAACTAAACCACTACTGTTAACTGATAGTAGAAATACGTAACTCCAAGAAAGCAGTGGTTTCTGAAAGCTAATCTGTAGCTTTGTGGAAGGCCTACTAATTGTTGTGTTCTGAACCAGCTGGAAGACATTGCAACATTTGGCACACCACCCATCTCTCCTGTGGCTGCTCGTGCTATCGTTTGCTTGTTCTAGGATGGAGACCCTTGCTGTGGGGATTTTGGTCCCCTTTCCTTCATGTGTGGACTCAAGCCTTTTGTGTGTCATTTAACTCATTAGAGCTTGACTCCCTTTTTCCTTATAAGGCCATCCTCTTTGCTCACTTCCTGCTTTAGCTCCTGACTTTTCCCCCCCCCCTCCTTCCTTTCCTATCCTGGATGCTGTCTCCATGTGGCACAGTTGTAACTATTCACAGCTGTCTGAAAAAGCAGAGCGCTGAGATCAGTACTGAGCCTTCAGCTTCCTTTCGCATAGAAAGGAAGTCCTTTAATGCTTCATCAGGCATATAACTGGAATTAACTTCTTGTTCTTTGTAGAACACAGAAAATCTTCCCCCTCATTTTAAAAGGGGGAATCTGAGCGTACTAAAGAAGAAGTGGGAGAATCCAGTGCTGGGAACGGAGTCTCAGAAGGAAACGCTACCAAGCAGCTGTGCTGAGGTTAGGCACCAGGTCGCCAGCCCGGGGCTCGGAGTCGGGAGCAGCCCTGCTTCTTCCCCGGACGTGGAGCAAACCCTGGGGGCTGGTGCTACATCTGACGCCCAGGCCCCTTCCAGCACCCCTGGCCAGCTGCAGTGTCCTGGTGGTGACAGCAGAAAGTTTCAAAGCCACTCACCGGAGAGCGGTAAAATGGAAAACTGTCTGAGAGAGTCCAGAGAAGTGGAAAAGCCTGAAGCCAGTGAAAACACAGACTCTCCGGGGAAGATTGAGAAATACAGCGTTCCGCTGAACAAACTCAAGATGATGTTTGAGAAGGGTGAAGCGACTCAGACCAAGGTAAGGATCTGTCCCTTCAAACCTTTAGAGAAACTAAAACTCTGCTGCCTCTTGGGCATCAGGAAAAGTCCCTGGAGGGAGTGGCTCCGAACTATTGACTCTGCAAATACTTGTATTCATTGTTTTAGTTGGTGTTAATAACTTACTTGAGCTGTGCAAATATGTGCAGAGTGCTACATTTGTGGCTATTTGTGATTGCTCATTGGAGATAGAAAGCGAATTTGCTTGTGAAAGGAGTACAATTTGAGAGAGAAAAATAAGTATGGAAAGCAAGTTGGGGTTGTTTATATCTTGTCTTTAAGATGAGTTATGCAAACATGAATTGTGTGTTAAAAAAAAAAGTATGTGTATACTGCTACATATACAAAAGAAAAAGTAACTGTTTGAAGTGAGCTGAACGGTCTCGGGCGGTTGCAGTGGAGATGGAAGTACTGCCAGAGTTAGGAGGGGTTTTTATATATGTATCAGTATGTGAGTCACACATATGCACATATAGAGAGAGAGATGCAAGTCCTGCGAAATACTCCCATCTTTTCCTTGCTGTTCTCTCATCTTTGTATCTTAACAAATGTTTCTTATCGAAAAAAAAAAAAAAAAAATCCTCACGGGGCAAAATAAGCAGAGATAGCCAGACAAGCTCCTGCCTTCACTAGTTTTGACTTGCAAATGCACAGGGCTTGCATTTTCTTACAACTGCTCATGAAATCTGATCCTGCATGTGGACTGCAGACTGTGTGTCCCGGGGGAGAATTGCTTAACTAGAAAATGAGTTGCATATGCTAGTGACTTGCAACACAGTCCTGAGGCCTTGATGCTGGTGGATTTTCCAGTTTTCTCATAGTTTCCTCTACTTCTGGCTTTGTTTTACTGCGGGTGATTTTCTTGCAGTATCGAGTAAAACAAACAAATTTTGTAGAAAAGTTGTTTAAATACGTAACAATTAAGGGCTTTAGAGGAGCATCTCTGTGTTAAAGGGAGTTTTGGGTCTGTATACAGTAATTTCACAACTTAAATTTTTGTAGTCTTTGTCATTATGTAAGAGCTGCCCGTACTATCACGTCCATCGAAAGGGCGGGCTGTGGAGGGTGATCTCCCGATAGCACTTCCCTGAACTCTTGCTGTAGGATTAATCAGTCAGGATTCCACAGGAAAGTACCGTTTTGCAGATGGGCTTCACGTAACTTTATCTTAGCCTGGGGTATAAATTGTTTTGGAGCTGACTGAATCTGGAACTGATATTTCTGTCAAGCTTAGTAATTCAAATATTGTTGAAAACCAGTTGAACACAGTACATACCACACAGTAGGTACGCAACTCTTCAGGTTAAGTTCAAATTATGTTCCTACGCCAATTCATCTGGTTACTTTTTAATTGTTCTAAAATGAAAAGGCACAAAAGGCTCTGAAGTTTAAGTGTATGGGGGGAGGGGGTGTCTTTGTAATTAGAAAGCATTACTATAAGCTTTCTGGTTCTGGGAATTTATCTGAGGACTGGAGAATGATGTCATGCAGTCACGTACAATGAAGATAGTGAGGCGCTATGGGCACACAGATCTTTTTCACTTAAGGTAGGAAGCGACTACAGCGATGGCGTAAGCTTGGCTAACTGCAAGCTCTGCAACTGCCTCTTCCACTTAGGCTTTTCCTGAACTCTGTTCAGTGATAAATCCCTGGTTTAAATGCAAGCAAGGCTTCAGCTGAGAGATGGCAATTTCCCTTGGTATTTACTTCAGCCTTAACATGTAAGTGATGTCAGAGCTTTGCTGACAAAACATCTGCCTAAGCTAAGTACCAACATGGCAGTAACTTCATGGCAGTAAAGATAAAACAACTTGCCTGGTTGCTGGGCAAGTCTGTGGCAAGAATCGAGATTAGAGCCTGGATTTCCTGGCTCAGTCACCCACTCTAAACAAACCTATTTTCATTTTTAGGGTTATAAGCAAAACCTCCTACTTTATTCATTTATTCATTCAGGGCTTGCTCTGTCTTCTGCAATTTAGATACAAAGCAGATCTTTTTTGTTGCATCTTCATGGAGAAAAAAAGCTCCAACCACAGTGGGGGCAGGTATGTTGGTCTAGACTGGTTCAGCACTAAGCAAAGACTGAACATCAGGTCTTTTATCAATTTCAAAGAATTCTTCCTGTAAGTGATACCGAAAGCATGCACAAGGGAGATCAGAAGGAAAGAAAGAGCAAGCAGATCTGCGATACTTCTTAAAAAGCTGTCTCCAAGTTGGTTTGTGTTGTTCCTTTAAGGCAAAACCTTACCGTTTTGTGTAGCTAACCTTATGTGCCGGGTCACATTTGACACAGTTAGTATATAATGAAATAGGTGTAACTTTTATTTGGTCTTTTGCCCAACAACTCTTTGTGCCCCAGGCGAAATGCTGTTAACTCTGTTGTACCTCTGCACTCACCTCTTTTGTCTTAGAACCTTGAGGCTTTCCACACATGAAGAATATTTCATCTCATTTTGCAGTAGCAGAAGCTGTGGCACTGGAATTGTGGCCCAGCCAGGGCTGTAGAGGGAACTGAGTGGCATAGGCATAAGGCTGGGAGTCAGGCACTCCTTCCTGGGGAAGTTACTACTTTTCCATGAGCTGTAATCACCCTAATTACTTGTGGGTGGTCAGTCTATTGATTGCAATGGGGAAAGTCCCTCATCTTCCCTTTGCTAATCTTTCTTTCCCCTATTATTCTGCTTTTTTTTCCCCCAATATAAAACTGTTGATATAAAATCTACACAATGTTGACTTTATATCTGTAGGTTTTAGTACTAGGACAGGCACAGAATCTCTCTGAACTCTAACTAAAGCTTTTGTATTTTGGTATTTTGGATTTTTACTCTCAAGACCTAGGCAAATTGTGTTATACAGCTTATCCACAGAAAAGTTCTTCAGGTGAAATTGTAATGTCTGTAGATGTCTGAGGTGGCAAAGAGGACAGGAGCTGGCAGGACTCTGGAGGTGATTCAGGTGACAGTTGGAGTACTCATTAACTCAGTTTTAGCTGGTCATGAGACGGCTGCCTCTGAGAATTGAACTTTTCCTGCTGCAGTGGATTCCACAGCAAGGTGGTGCAACGGGGGGGAAAGCTTTTGCTCTTAAGTCAGAACACACCAGCCTTCATGAGGGTCCTACCAAGTCAAGCAGAAGAGTCTGTTTCTGACAAATATTGAATCCTTCGCTGCTGGTAAAAATGGAGGGTTTTGGTTGCTTGGAAGAAGCATGCATCTAGAGGAGTTCTGGGCCCTGCTCCACAATTCCTGTTGATGGTAGCTGACTGGACACTTGCTTGACAACACACCAGTCCCTTGCCAACTCTTATGTAGCGGTTTAATTGTTTAATAATTAATTTCAGCAACAATTGAGAATTCTTTGTGTTCTCAACATGAGGGTAGTTCAGCATGATGTTACTGGAGAAATGAGATTCTGGAACAAAAGAGAATGAGAAGAGGCAACCTCAACAAGTTTCTAATCTTGATTCCTAACTGTCTTTTTCTCCTGGAAAGTGCTGATGGTTTCTTTCAGTGAGGTTGGAATCCCAGATGCTGGATCTAAATTACTTGAATTAAGACCTTTATTTGCTAGCAGTGAAAACTTCCAAAGGCACTCTGCTGCCAGTTAAACTTCCCACGTGTCTATATGGCAAACTTGTCTTCGTTTGTAGCTTTGTCACTCCTGCTGCGTGCAAGAAAATGTGCGTGGTGCCAAATTATTTAAAAAAACCAAACCAAAACCACCACCACCACCAAACCCCAAAATAAAATAGAATAAAAAAAGCCAACCCAGGGCAGCGATAAAATAGTCAGGGGTTTCAAGTGGGCCAATAAACATGTTTTCTCTTCTGCATCCTCAGAGGATCTTGTCTTCAAGTGTATTCTGCCTACAGTGATCTTTGTATGCTTGTCAAAAGCCCAATCCTTTGAATGACAAATTTCTGAGTTGTAAGAACTTCAGACTTGTGAGCTCAAGGTGACATTAAAGTGGACGTAGGCTGAATAAGAATCATCTAAGGATGGTTTGCACAGAATGAAGAATCTGCAAGTCCTTACAAGTGTGCAGACACTCCCAAACTGAACCTATCAACACACTCAATGGAAGGAAAAGACTTGTCATAGCTAAGCTCTTTTCCAGTAAGAAAAGTTACCAAAGTCTTAAACCACAGAAATAGAAAATATTTCCCATGCTAATGGAAAAAGAGGTTTTCCAGCTGCATTTTCCTTTCCTGGTAAATCTCCGGGGAAGATTGAGAAATACAGCGTTCCGCTGAACAAACTCAAGATGATGTTTGAGAAGGGTGAAGCGACTCAGACCAAGGTAAGGATCTGTCCCTTCAAACCTTTAGAGAAACTAAAACTCTGCTGCCTCTTGGGCATCAGGAAAAGTCCCTGGAGGGAGTGGCTCCGAACTATTGACTCTGCAAATACTTGTATTCATTGTTTTAGTTGGTGTTAGTAACTTACTTGAGCTGTGCAAATATGTGCAGAGTGCTACATTTGTGGCTATTTGTGATTGCTCATTGGAGATAGAAAGCGAATTTGCTTGTGAAAGGAGTACAATTTGAGAGAGAAAAATAAGTATGGAAAGCAAGTTGGGGTTGTTTATATCTTGTCTTTAAGATGAGTTATGCAAACATGAATTGTGTGTTTAAAAAAAAAGTATGTGTATACTGCTATATATACAAAAGAAAAAGTAACTGTTTGAAGTGAGCTGAACGGTCTCGGGCGGTTGCAGTGGAGATGGAAGTACTGCCAGAGTTAGGAGGGGTTTTTATATATGTATCAGTATGTGAGTCACACATATGCACATATAGAGAGAGAGATGCAAGTCCTGCGAAATACTCCCATCTTTTCCTTGCTGTTCTCTCATCTTTGTATCTTAACAAATGTTTCTTATCGAAAAAAAAAAAAAAAATCCTCACGGGGCAAAATAAGCAGAGATAGCCAGACAAGCTCCTGCCTTCACTAGTTTTGACTTGCAAATGCACAGGGCTTGCATTTTCTTACAACTGCTCATGAAATCTGATCCTGCATGTGGACTGCAGACTGTGTGTCCCGGGGGAGAATTGCTTAACTAGAAAATGAGTTGCATATGCTAGTGACTTGCAACACAGTCCTGAGGCCTTGATGCTGGTGGATTTTCCAGTTTTCTCATAGTTTCCTCTACTTCTGGCTTTGTTTTACTGCGGGTGATTTTCTTGCAGTATCGAGTAAAACAAACAAATTTTGTAGAAAAGTTGTTTAAATACGTAACAATTAAGGGCTTTAGAGGAGCATCTCTGTGTTAAAGGGAGTTTTGGGTCTGTATACAGTAATTTCACAACTTAAATTTTTGTAGTCTTTGTCATTATGTAAGAGCTGCCCGTACTATCACGTCCATCGAAAGGGCGGGCTGTGGAGGGTGATCTCCCGATAGCACTTCCCTGAACTCTTGCTGTAGGATTAATCAGTCAGGATTCCACAGGAAAGTACCGTTTTGCAGATGGGCTTCACGTAACTTTATCTTAGCCTGGGGTATAAATTGTTTTGGAGCTGACTGAATCTGGAACTGATATTTCTGTCAAGCTTAGTAATTCAAATATTGTTGAAAACCAGTTGAACACAGTACATACCACACAGTAGGTACGCAACTCTTCAGGTTAAGTTCAAATTATGTTCCTACGCCAATTCATCTGGTTACTTTTTAATTGTTCTAAAATGAAAAGGCACAAAAGGCTCTGAAGTTTAAGTGTATGGGGGGAGGGGGTGTCTTTGTAATTAGAAAGCATTACTATAAGCTTTCTGGTTCTGGGAATTTATCTGAGGACTGGAGGATGATGTCATGCAGTCACGTACAATGAAGATAGTGAGGCGCTATGGGCACACAGATCTTTTTCACTTAAGGTAGGAAGCGACTACAGCGATGGCGTAAGCTTGGCTAACTGCAAGCTCTGCAACTGCCTCTTCCACTTAGGCTTTTCCTGAACTCTGTTCAGTGATAAATCCCTGGTTTAAATGCAAGCAAGGCTTCAGCTGAGAGATGGCAATTTCCCTTGGTATTTACTTCAGCCTTAACATGTAAGTGATGTCAGAGCTTTGCTGACAAAACATCTGCCTAAGCTAAGTACCAACATGGCAGTAACTTCATGGCAGTAAAGATAAAACAACTTGCCTGGTTGCTGGGCAAGTCTGTGGCAAGAATCGAGATTAGAGCCTGGATTTCCTGGCTCAGTCACCCACTCTAAACAAACCTATTTTCATTTTTAGGGTTATAAGCAAAACCTCCTACTTTATTCATTTATTCATTCAGGGCTTGCTCTGTCTTCTGCAATTTAGATACAAAGCAGATCTTTTTTGTTGCATCTTCATGGAGAAAAAAAGCTCCAACCACAGTGGGGGCAGGTATGTTGGTCTAGACTGGTTCAGCACTAAGCAAAGACTGAACATCAGGTCTTTTATCAATTTCAAAGAATTCTTCCTGTAAGTGATACCGAAAGCATGCACAAGGGAGATCAGAAGGAAAGAAAGAGCAAGCAGATCTGCGATACTTCTTAAAAAGCTGTCTCCAAGTTGGTTTGTGTTGTTCCTTTAAGGCAAAACCTTACCGTTTTGTGTAGCTAACCTTATGTGCCGGGTCACATTTGACACAGTTAGTATATAATGAAATAGGTGTAACTTTTATTTGGTCTTTTGCCCAACAACTCTTTGTGCCCCAGGCGAAATGCTGTTAACTCTGTTGTACCTCTGCACTCACCTCTTTTGTCTTAGAACCTTGAGGCTTTCCACACATGAAGAATATTTCATCTCATTTTGCAGTAGCAGAAGCTGTGGCACTGGAATTGTGGCCCAGCCAGGGCTGTAGAGGGAACTGAGTGGCATAGGCATAAGGCTGGGAGTCAGGCACTCCTTCCTGGGGAAGTTACTACTTTTCCATGAGCTGTAATCACCCTAATTACTTGTGGGTGGTCAGTCTATTGATTGCAATGGGGAAAGTCCCTCATCTTCCCTTTGCTAATCTTTCTTTCCCCTATTATTCTGCTTTTTTTTCCCCCAATATAAAACTGTTGATATAAAATCTACACAATGTTGACTTTATATCTGTAGGTTTTAGTACTAGGACAGGCACAGAATCTCTCTGAACTCTAACTAAAGCTTTTGTATTTTGGTATTTTGGATTTTTACTCTCAAGACCTAGGCAAATTGTGTTATACAGCTTATCCACAGAAAAGTTCTTCAGGTGAAATTGTAATGTCTGTAGATGTCTGAGGTGGCAAAGAGGACAGGAGCTGGCAGGACTCTGGAGGTGATTCAGGTGACAGTTGGAGTACTCATTAACTCAGTTTTAGCTGGTCATGAGACGGCTGCCTCTGAGAATTGAACTTTTCCTGCTGCAGTGGATTCCACAGCAAGGTGGTGCAACGGGGGGGAAAGCTTTTGCTCTTAAGTCAGAACACACCAGCCTTCATGAGGGTCCTACCAAGTCAAGCAGAAGAGTCTGTTTCTGACAAATATTGAATCCTTCGCTGCTGGTAAAAATGGAGGGTTTTGGTTGCTTGGAAGAAGCATGCATCTAGAGGAGTTCTGGGCCCTGCTCCACAATTCCTGTTGATGGTAGCTGACTGGACACTTGCTTGACAACACACCAGTCCCTTGCCAACTCTTATGTAGCGGTTTAATTGTTTAATAATTAATTTCAGCAACAATTGAGAATTCTTTGTGTTCTCAACATGAGGGTAGTTCAGCATGATGTTACTGGAGAAATGAGATTCTGGAACAAAAGAGAATGAGAAGAGGCAACCTGAACAAGTTTCTAATCTTGATTCCTAACTGTCTTTTTCCCTGGAAAGTGCTGATGGTTTCTTTCAGTGAGGTTGGAATCCCAGATGCTGGATCTAAATTACTTGAATTAAGACCTTTATTTGCTAGCAGTGAAAACTTCCAAAGGCACTCTGCTGCCAGTTAAACTTCCCACGTGTCTATATGGCAAACTTGTCTTCGTTTGTAGCTTTGTCACTCCTGCTGCGTGCAAGAAAATGTGCGTGGTGCCAAATTATTTAAAAAAACCAAACCAAAACCACCACCACCACCAAACCCCAAAATAAAATAGAATAAAAAAAGCCAACCCAGGGCAGCGATAAAATAGTCAGGGGTTTCAAGTGGGCCAATAAACATGTTTTCTCTTCTGCATCCTCAGAGGATCTTGTCTTCAAGTGTATTCTGCCTACAGTGATCTTTGTATGCTTGTCAAAAGCCCAATCCTTTGAATGACAAATTTCTGAGTTGTAAGAACTTCAGACTTGTGAGCTCAAGGTGACATTAAAGTGGACGTAGGCTGAATAAGAATCATCTAAGGATGGTTTGCACAGAATGAAGAATCTGCAAGTCCTTACAAGTGTGCAGACACTCCCAAACTGAACCTATCAACACACTCAATGGAAGGAAAAGACTTGTCATAGCTAAGCTCTTTTCCAGTAAGAAAAGTTACCAAAGTCTTAAACCACAGAAATAGAAAATATTTCCCATGCTAATGGAAAAAGAGGTTTTCCAGCTGCATTTTCCTTTCCTGGTAAAGTTGCTGTTTTGTATGCCAAAGCAGCCTGATTTTTCACAGTGATTGTCTTACAGTGCAGTTCTGTTAAAATAAAACTTTGGAATTTCCTTCAGTTTGGTGACCAGCAAATAAGAAGCTTGTTGGAAGTTGGGGGATGGGGGAATGTGTGGTTGGAGCATCTTGCCAAACCTGCCCTGTTCCCTACATTAGCCTCAATCTTCATTTCCAACTGGCTCCGTGATTTAACTCTTCCTAGGGAGGGAACAAAGATCTATCACCTTCTAGTATTTTATAGGTTGACTTTCAGCTGTGAAAACATCCTATCTTGATGAAGTCAAACTCTGCACTTCATGAGCATTTATCAAAGCTGCTGAAATTTCTTTTCACAGTTTCTTTTATTGAGCATTAGATTTTGGGGTGTTGGTCTCGACAAATGAGTATCAAATCTGATGGAGCCAGCAAGAGCATCTGTGTGGTAGTGCTACAAAGCACCCTGTCCAGACCTGCATTGCTGATGGTGATTATCCTGGATATCTGAGAATATTTATCTCTAGCACTCTCCTGCTTAAGCTTCAGCCTTATGAGACCTAATTAGGGAATTATTTGGTACCAAATGCATGAGCTATCCAAATCAAAACAAGTAACTTTAGATAACTTTTATTACAATAGTATTTATTCTTCTTTCTGTTGCTGAAAATTAATGCAAATTTTTGATAGCTCACTCCTTTAATCAATTTTCATCATCCTGTCAATCTTTCTGATATTAAATCTTCGTAAAATGACCTTGAACATTAACTTTAAAAGAAACTGTATAAAATGCAAAAATCTATACTAAAGTTTTCTGTTTGCAGTGGTAAATGCCTAAGAATCTAATCTTTGTGGTTCTCTGACTTTTCAGCAAAGACAACTAGTCAAAGGGCATCTACTGACCTCTTCATGAAAGTGTTTTCCAGGTGACAGAGGGTCAGGTATTCTGTGATCAAACTTTATACTGGTTAAATAAGATGTCACCTGCTAGACTTGTTTATTCCAGTAAAGCAGATTTGCTAGTGACACCTGCGCATCTTAAAGGATTACACGCAACAATCTTTGTTTGTCCAGGCAGCTGATAGGTGGGTCTTGTCTCTAACAGGTCGCGAGAGACCAGAGGAAGACAGCAGTCGGTAGGAGGATTTCTGAAAACAGCCTCTCTTCGGAGGACTTTGATATTGGCCAAGGAGAGAAGAGCCATAGTACATCAGGTCAGTAAACTCATGGTTTGTGTTTTGGTTTGGGGGTTTTTAGTTTATAAAATAAAACTACTTTATACAATACAATGGAAATAATTTTTGCCTTTCAGAAATGGAAGAAAGTGCAGCCATCTTCCATCTGGAAAGTCCATGCAAGCGTTGCATTTAACGAATTAAGTCTTGCTGTGAATTTTAAACCATTATACTCTTAAGCATGGGAAGCCAAGGCACAGGAGATAACTAGCAAGTTAAGGAACAGAACCCATTTTTTCCCCTGTGTCTTATTCCTAGGATGATCCTAGAACTAATTTTAATAATCAGGTTGAGCAAATTTATGTATTTTTCATACGTTTGGAGACTCTTTACTAACAAAGCCTTTTTACAATCTTGTTGTTTTCAGCCTGTGACTAATGCTACATCCCAGTACTTAGAAACGCACATTGTATCCTTATTTGAGCAGCAGTGGAGAGAATGGCAAGAACTGCTTACACTTGTTTGTTGTCCTCAAGAGGCACCTTAGTGATTCATACAACTTTTTAGTTCAAGGCCACTAGCTAGTGAAAGGTTGGGTTTTTTTATCATCCTTTATCAAGCAATTAAGCTATTACTGAAGACCTGACCATTATACAAGGAAGTTAGATAGCAGAGCAGTCACAGGAGCTGGCTTTTTAAACCTGTTTGGCTAACAGCTGACAGCAAAAACGAAAGCTGGATGGCACGTAGTAATGGGGCATAGTGAGAGTCAGATCTGCACCTATGCAGAGACTTAAGGTCCCAAATGTTCCTTTCCTCTTGAGATAAATACGGGTGCTCCACATGATCCTGTGAGACTAAATGGAATTGTTTCATAACATGTTTGTACTCGAGATCCTCATCTGTAACATGTCATGCAATAAATTATTTTCATGGAGAAGGTGGAAGTGGCAGTTCCTTGCTTCCCATGTTTCCCCAAAAGACTTGGACAACTATTCCACTACAGGAATGAGAGATATTCCCATTTAGCCACTGTAGCAGCTGCTTTCATTTGACAATAACAGCAAAACAATCTTCAATGTTAAAACTGTTTGTTCTCATTACTTCTGAGACCACTGGCTGGACAGTGCATCTAGTGAATACACTGCTTCTGCAACTAGCTGGATTAATTATGGGACTTGGAGCATAAGCCTTTGACTGAAGCATTTCTGTGCTCCTCAGATCTGGAATTTCTGTGGTCTTGGGAGTGGTAAAGGGATGGGATTTGTAAATCTTTCTGTAGACAGGTCCACTGGTGTTCCTGAAAGTTATCCTTTATTCATGTTCTCTTTTTCCAGGGCATCTCGTGGATACTAGTCCAGCGCTCAGCCCAGATAGGGCAGAGACCAAAAAAATCCTGGAGATGCCTCGCTTGACGGAAACTTCAATAAAGGATAGGCTGGCAAAGTATCAGGCAGCTGTGTCCAAGCAGGGCAGTTCCACAGGCCTCGTTACCACGGTAAGTCTGTTCTTCGGCTTGTGTAGTAGAAGTGAGTTTTTGTCCCAACCTGAGACTGGAAAGAAGATCTTATGGAAACCAGGCTTTTTGAAGATAATACCATCTTCTTTTGAAAATAACTTTGTGCCCATAGGAGTTTCTTCTAATGAAGAGTTGCCTCTACATACTGCAGGAGGAAATAAGTATTTGCATCTTCCCGGAATAATCTTGAAAGTTTTCCAAGGAATTAATTGCTGGCACCCTGACTGAGGTCCTTCTGAAACATAGCTGACATTCTTTTTCTTTCTGCATGTCTGTAGCTTTCTGCATGTTTATTGGGTTTGGGTTTGTTTGTTTGGTTGGTTTTTGGTTTTTCTTAAGAAAAAAAACAAGCTCAATTCTGTATTGCACATTAGCTATAAGCTAAGGGAAACTGAGGCACAGTAATGCAGCGACTTTCAGTGTCATGCAGTGCATAGAACCTGGATCTCTTGGCTTGCAGCTTTGGGCTCTCCAGTCAGTTTTCCTTCCTTTTGCTTTTCACCTCCCTTCAAGTCTTCTCACCCATTATCTGAATCCAATTAGACTCTCGCAGTGAATGAACCCATGCCAATTTTGCAGATATTTAATCAGGAAATGAGCAGTTAATGAATCATGGTACGGTATTGCAGCTGAAGAGATTGCAAGAATCTAAGCTTTTGTTAAAAAGTGTTTAAGTACATTTGCTGGAACTGTCTGATATTTTGCTTAATGATGGGAACTTTTATTCTTGAGTATGACTTTTATTAACCAGAGTAATAAATTATAAGAGGCTAGGCCTTTTTAAGTTAGGCAACTTGCACTGGAATAAAAGCCAAAAGTGATGATTCTAAGCTTTGGAAGAGTGCATGCTTCCTGGGTATCTTTGTAGAGAGGCAAAAGTCTCTCCCCAGCTGAAAAAATTTCTGAATTTCATATGCAGTGTGGGTCTAATTCTGCAACCCTTGGGAGGAAAGTCGAGTAAACTTCACTGCGTGAATGGAAAGTAATTGCAGCCAGTGCAACAAATCTGATTAACTGCTAATTGCTGGTTTCTGCATCCTGTTTCTAGCCTGGATTCAGTTTGCTGGATTGCCTCTTCCAGTTTGTGGCTCAGAGTGGTAGCTGATCCACTAAATTATGTCCTAATTGCAAGAGATTTACCATAGGTGTCTCTTGAGACTCCCCTTTGCAGATCCCCAGTGCTATCACTTTGAGTGTCATTCCAGCCTGATGCTCTTAGGATGTCCCATTTGGCAGAATCTCTTTCAATTTTGGCCTGGCACTTGGACAGGGGCAGCACATAAGATGGAGCAAACAACGGTTTCTGAGGCCAATGTTTGCAGTGCTTCTGTGCTCGAACAGCAGCCATAGCTCTGGGATAGTCTCCTTCCCTGCTGACAAAGCAACCAGGGCTCTTTTGATATGGTAGTGTGGTATTTGTACTTCCCTTCTCTTAAAATGTTTCACATCGGTGCTACAAAGGAAAGCCATAATCTCTCTTGAGAACAACTACTTGGAGGGCATTGTGGTGTAATTAGGCCTGGATTAAAACCGATAGACACTTTTACAGTTGGTTAGAGTAAGGGTGAGAAACAATCACTTCTATGCGTTGCAAGTGATACAGGAAGGGGAAGGAGGGATGACGGACAGCCTATTTGGAGACCAATATATTAAAATTCTAACAGTCAGTTGCATACCTGTGAGAGGTGGCTGGCTTTGTGCAGACTTGTTTACAAAATCCTGAAGATGCTGGTGCTGGCATGTGGCTGTTTCTCTTTCATGTTACAGAGAAGATGCCTTGTGAAAGGCACGAGTCTTTCTCCAATTATCTTGTATCCTGTGGCAATGAAAGAAACACGAGGTTTCACTGGATTTTATTTTTTTTTAAGTCTGAAAAATTCTTTTGTGCAAATCTTGAACAAGTAAGTTTGTCAAGAACAAAAATCTCGGTGAATATAAGAAGTAGGTTTTGGACTACTTTTGAAGCAAGGGTAGGATCTGCTTTTATGTCAAATTGTATTTTTCAATTACACAGTGCTTTAGATAGCACTTGTCTTGAAATACTTGTAATTTCAAATGAAAAGTTAGCATTTCTGCACAAGGAAGATGTGGATTCAGCAGGGGAAACGAGAGTCAATTTTAAACAAGAATCTGGAAGGAGAGAAAAGGAGTTGTTTAGAAAAATGCTGGCATTACCTCCATAAAGTATGGTAAAATTCTACAGCTCCATCATTTTTCTACATTAGAGTATATCATTTACCAAGTTTGTATAGATTTTTATGCCCCTTCATTTAATTATCACTGTATATACTAGGAAAACAGTTTTAAAAGGATTTAAAGTAATATAGAAAGCAAGTACTTTCCTAGGGGAAAAGAACCTGTCAACTTTCAAGTCCTTTTTCTATAGAATGAGATTCAAGCCAGTGAAAGTGAACTCAAGAATTACAAATCTGAGCAGAAGGAGAATATGCCACCAAGTCTTGAGGACTCCATTTCCTATCAGGATGGGGAGAAGGTAAGATGCTCATGCTGGTGAAGATCAAGGACTTCACTTGAAGTGGAACTAGTTGTAGAAGCACAGCTGATATACTTGTTCCACAGGCCATCTAGAAATTGAATATGAGCAGCTGATACAGATTATTTACATGCTGCAGAATCCATGATTATTTTTTTTTTATTATCTTTTTGGACTGTATCTGAATAATAAGCTAGCAAGTCTCCGTGGAAGACTTTTAAGCAGTTGTGTAGAGAATATCTAAAGACAAATTTTAAGGGGGGGTTGTTCTGGTTTGTTGTTTGGTTTTTGTTTTTTTTTTTTAACTTTTAACTTTTGATGACTATGATGAATCCACCTAAACTTTTTTGTGTCATGTTCCCTAACTGTAAAAAGATGATTCACAGCTAGGCATTTCCTTTGTTTGTGGGTTTTGGTGGTGTATTGGGACGTATTTTTGATTTTGATTTTTTTCTTTAAATAAAACCCACACCAGAAAAAAAAAAAAAAGCCATGAGAAGCTTTGTGTGACGCAAGTAAAAGGAATTTGTCACTGTTTCTTCTGCATTTAGTGGCTAAATTTTGATTAAGGTAACTGAGAATGCCAGTTTGGGTTTGTTCCTGGTTTTGAGCTTCAGCTGTAAATTGAGACTAAATTACTCTGTGAATCGGAGATAATAAAGCACACTCAAGCATTTGTATACGAAACTGGGGACAGCAGACGGGATAAAAGTAGCTGAATAATAATCGGGGTACTGTGTATTCCAACCATTCTGAACACGTGGCAGCCTAATGCCAGGAGGGCTTTTAGAGCTTTCCAGCCTTCCTTGGGCAAGGGGCCAAATGGTTGCTTTCAGCTGTTCCTCGCTGGCAGCTGAGCAGCTTCATGTTTAACTGGCGGAGGCTGCTTTTTGCTAAAAGGTGAGTTAATTAAAAGAACACCTGTTAAATCAGAATACTTCCCTGTTGTTGAATGGAAGATTTGAATAAAATTTCTTGTATTCAGCTGTAATTGTTAAGTTCCTTCTTGAGGTGTCCAGGTGCAATAAAGAACCTGAATAGAACGTTGTTTGAGAGCCAGGATTGTCCTTCTGAAATGACATGGCGAACTTTGGAAATAAGCCTAATTAAAACTACTAGTAGTAAATGTCAGAAATGTGAATCCTCTGGCAAAAAGGAAAGGAAACTTCCTAACCTTCTCTGTCATTTTTTCAAACTGAATCTGTGATTTAGTAGCTGGACATGTGTGACTCTTAACAGCCACAGAACATGCTGATGCACTTCCCAGTATACTACTGTTGCAGTTATTTTTTCAGTAGACCAGAGTATGTGAATATATGCAACTTGCTTCCTCATTACCCCATTAGTTTGCAAACTTCAGTTGCTTGCAGTGGACCTTCCAATCATTAAAGTGAATTAGTGATGATTTGCAATTAATCTTGTTACAGTACTTTAGTTTCTCACTGTAGCTATTTACAACTATTTGATTTAATAGCAATAGTGCCAAGTTTAATAAAGAAATATACATCAAGAGCTTTATCTGTAACCTGTTTAGTATCTGAAACTGGTTTATATCCAACTCTTCTAAAAAGTTGTTTGTTTGTTTGTTTTTTAAATATGCATTTGTTTCTGAAGGAGCATGAACAGCATAGGTCCAGGCATGTTTGTCCCAACCTGGGAACAGCAGAATTCTAGTTTAACAAAAGCTTTTTTTAAAATTCAGCTGTTTGGTTTTTGTTTTGTTTTTTTAAAGCACTGTCTTTGCTGATAGTTTAAATGTCATAGATTTGGCAAATGTTGGAGGGAGCAATGATATTTCCAGTAAACGTGTACTGCTTGGTGTCAAGGGACCTGAGAGGAACATCAACAAGGATTTCTGAAGACAAACAGATAAAGGTGTACAAGCTGCAGCTTTTGGGAAAACAAAAATACGATGTTTGTGTGTGTGTGTAAGCACGTGGCAGATGATCTGAATATTGCAAGAGCTGTAAAATTGTGAGGATATCTACCTTGTAGCAAGGACTAACATTCTTGAGGGTCAGCTGGACTCCGCCTTGTGCCTTTCAAAACAAGAAGTAGCTTTGCGTGCCAGCGTAGCTCGGTGTGGCCAGTGTCCTCTTGTGTAAGTGCTTACCGCGTCAAACTGCCTGTTGTGTTACTCAGGCCGTGATTATTCAGGCTGCAGAGGGTCAGAGGTGCTCACAGTCTAATATTCTCTTGCAGGTTTCTGTAGGTGAGAACAGCTTGTCTTTCCACTCTGGTCTTCTAGAGGACGGCAATGGTAAGCACTCATTCTGCCTCAACAAAAGCACATGGTGGAGGAAAAGCGCTAACTCTGCCCAGCTGTGTGATGAATTTGACACAATAAAAGCTTGTCTTGTACTAAAAATCTGTCCTGTGCCTAACTCAAACTTTATAAGAATTTCTTTCAGGTCTAGCAGTTCATTTGCAATTGTAATTCTAAGACATCTGTAACTCTTGTCTGCTGTGATAGAACATATTTAAGTGTAGCTTCTCACCATTTGGGCTTAAACTTATAGCTCTGGCAACTACTACATCAGTCAACAGGCTGAGGTACTCGTTAATGCAGGACAATTACCAAGTGTCTTTGGTGCTGTCCAGAGATAGACAGGTTCCTGTGCAGCAAAGTACATAAGCACGTTCTCATGTTGCCTTAGCTTTACGCCTAAATTCAAGCCCACGTGTGAACACTGGGCAGAAATGGAAGAACAGTTCCTGGAAGTTACATGTTGGATCCCCGTATATTGGTTTCCTTATCAACTTAACTTTCTTGGTAAATCAGAAAAGTAGAACGACCATGTTTAACTATCTAGACCTAGAGGTTTAACAGCAGATCTTCCAGAAAAAATGCATTAGCCCTTAGTTGGTAGGATTGCTGTTCGATCTTATGAGCATAAGCTTTCCATGGTTTTAAAGTCATTGTAATTACCTTTTCTTCCTCCTGTACTCCCTTAGTTGGACAAAACTCGGAGAGCAAGACAGAAGTTCAGAAAGCTGTCAGCACAAAGCAGCAAAACTTTGGTTCTAAATCAGCTGGCCAGACAGATGCATCTCTGCCAAAAGCAGTGAAGGTAAAGCAGCTATTTTTTCTCAAAGATTGGCGACGGTTAAAACCAACTAACTTCTCTATTTAATATCGAAAAGACTTAATCCAACCAATGTGGTCACAAAGGGTCTGGCAGTAACTGTATCGATATCTGATCTGCCTTCATCAGGCTGTGTTCATGAGGGAACTTTAATTCAGAATGGAGAAGCTTCTCAAAACTGTCAGTTTTTCTTCAAAGACTAAGTTTGAGCTGCTTGCTGGGAGTTGCCCTGCTGCTGTTACAACAGCACGTCCCTGCGACAGAGGCAGGTTCTCTTCAGTCTGGGAAAAGCGGGTTGAGCAGGGGATTGGATCAGGGCTCTTGTAAAGCCAGTGCTCCTAGAGACTGGCACCGAGGTCCTGATACTGCTCTTCGGAGCTTTTAGTAGGCTGGGACTTGGCTTTCCACCCTCCTCTTCCAGCTGCTGTTCCCCAGGTAACTGCAATTGGTAGCAACTTTCTAGTAAGGGCACTGCAGTGACCGACTCCACAACGACTGAATTTGGCATTCTGAATAGCAAGTCCTTAATGTTACATTTTCTTTAGTGAGAGCTGTAAAGCCTAAAGCAGATGGAGAACTTCTCGGATAGGAATGTATTTGCTAATCTTATTAGACATGCAAACGGCAGTGCTGAACGTTTTGATCACACTGTACTTGTCACGTGTGCTGTCTGGAGTTAGGATGCCTATTCCCTGGGCTGCCACAGACTTCCTGGCTCACTCCTGAGGAAACAACTGTGCTTTTGTTGTTTTCCCCATCTTTGAGAGGAACAGCACTGACCTCACGAAGACCAGCGAGATGTGGCTTCCTAGTGTTCTGGAGTACAAATGCCAGTACACGAAATTAGAGCTGCCTGTAGCATTTTTGTAATCTCAGTCTGTTACAGCATACAAGGTACACACAACCTGTGTGTCTTGGTCCTCTGTGCTATCTCTTTGTATTATTGGAACCATTTTAGCCCTCTACCTTGTTACTGCTTTAGACACTGCACTGCAGAGATAGAAACCAAGATGCTGTTTATTCATGTAAGGTTCCTTTTTGTCTCTTCCAGCTTCTGTTTCCTGTCCTTGGTTCCTAACCTCTACTCCTGCCTTCTGCTTCCCTCCTAATGTGAGCTCAACTCTCAGCTTTCTCTCAAGTTTTTTGTTTTTTTTTTTTTTTTTTTATTTTTATCTCAGTCTGTTACAGCATACAAGGTACACACAACCTGTGTGTCTTGGTCCTCTGTGCTATCTCTTTGTATTATTGGAACCATTTTAGCCCTCTACCTTGTTACTGCTTTAGACACTGCACTGCAGAGATAGAAACCAAGATGCTGTTTATTCATGTAAGGTTCCTTTTTGTCTCTTCCAGCTTCTGTTTCCTGTCCTTGGTTCCTAACCTCTACTCCTGCCTTCTGCTTCCCTCCTAATGTGAGCTCAACTCTCAGCTTTCTCCCAATTTTTTTTTTTTTTTTTTTTTTTTTTTTATATTTACTGGGCCTCGCCTTCCTCCTGTAGCTCCTATTTGTAGTATGCCTGGAAAGGAATTTCTTTCTCTTCACATCCCAAAATGCTTCTCCATCAGACATAGGGCTCATTGTTGTACAAGTAAGTTCCTTTTCTTAGAGGGGACGTGCATTGCAGAAGCACACGCCAGCACTGTAATGTCATCTTGCCAAACTAAGCTTCCAGGGAGAGTTACTTTTTGATGGGCAAGCAAATTGTTGCTGCCTTGCTCCCTGTGGCAAGCATGGATGATTAGATTTTTGTTTGCATCAGTAAACTCTCATTTTTTGAGATTTAATTTTGTGACTCAGAATTCAGAATTCATATGCGGGTTTGGCAGCACCTAGAAATTGTAGATTTTTTTTTTCAAGACTAACTCTGAACCTTTGTTGGTCAAGCTGTCATCATAATTAGAACTTTAATCTACGATAACTTCAAGCAATGCCTTAACAAAATTGAAATACCTATTAAAGTGGAATTAAATTGGCAGCAGACTTTATGGCTGTGACAAACTGACTTCAGCTGGCTCTGTCTTCAGCATCTGCCCCTCACGTATTGTAACTTACACTGCCTAACCATTGTTTCTAGTCTGTTATAAATAAATTGCTGTAATTATGTCTTCCTGTGACCTTCCTGTTTTTTCTTTAGCCATCATATTTTTCCTTTAATAAGTTAGTAAGTTTGTAGCAGGTAATTCTTTGTCAAAGAGAAGCTACAATATCAATGTGTCTATGCAAACCCATGGTATGGAGCGTAGGCGCTCTTTTACCCTGCTGCTGAAGAAGTTGTCATCAACATGCAGCCTGAGATTGTCCATTTTTCAACTGTAAGTTAGTTATTTAATTTTTCCTTTAAAGTACCTTCCCTATTGGCTAAGCTTAATAGATTCCAAGAAGTGAATGGCCTCAAGTGACCTTTTTTCATGGACAATGTACTTGCTTCCTTGATGCTGTCAGAAAACAAAATCCAAAATTGTTCCCATACAGCGCAGCAGTGACACTTGACTCCTTAGCGTTTAAGTTTACCCTTGCACTAAATTCTCAGGAAATTCTTTTAGCGAGCACATAAGCAATTTTAGCTGTTTAACCTCAAAGCCCTGCTCACTTTTACGTCTTGAGCAAGTTTGAGGGCTGTATGTCTTGAAACCTGAGTATAGTTTCTTTGCAATAGAACTGGAATTACTTACAAATGAAGTCAGACGTGTTTCCTGCTGCCTGCATCTGTGCTGAGACTATTTCCTCCCCTTTAAGAGAGGAGAGCATTTAGCAAAAGTGGATCATTTCAAACTATTGAGCAGCCTGTTCCACTCCTTTCCCCTCCCACCCTCTACTTTTTTTTTTTTTTAAATTTTGGTAAGTCTCATACTGACTGTAATCTACCTGAGTATTTCTTCATCATTTGACTATAACAAAAAATTGAGGGTGCAGAAATAGATGAGACAGCTTTTTGGGAACTGGCTCAGTCAAGGTTATAACTGAGTTCTGTATTTTCATTGTTCCTTCTCAACCATTGCTCAACTTGTGGTGCTTCAGCTGTGGAATTCACTGGGGCAAAATCTTGGCTTGCTGTCAAGCCACAGCAATCCTGTGGGCCTGCCATAGCCTCTTCCTCCCTCGTTGCCCACCAGAACCCACTCTACCATAATTAGCATTGAGTTGCAGAAAGTGAATTGCTGCAGTTTTTTCTGAGAACTCTGGAAGCCGTGCATGAACCCAAGCCAAGTCCCCTAGCAGTTGATTCATTTTCCAGTTAACAAGCTTTCTCTCTTTTTTTTTTTTTTTTCCCCCCCATAGAAATTTCAGTTGCCAATGAAGGAAACCTGTGTTGGGTGTCAGAAGACTGTGTACCCGATGGAAAGGCTCTTTGCCAACCAGCAGGTGTTTCACATCAGCTGTTTCCGCTGTTCCTATTGCAACAGTAAACTCAGGTAAACACGCTGCTCCATTTGGCTGCCATCTAGGAAGCGTGGCTTTCCTCTTTAGCTGCCGAGTTCAGGTTTAGCTGAGCTGAAGGCAACCATAATCCAGCAGATTGGAGAGGAGCGTAGGAGTGGTAATACACTCCTAGTTCTGCCAGTGGCTTTTGCACTTGATGCAGTCCTTTATTTTTTTTTTTTAAACTCTTAATGTAATTTTACATCGGGGAAAACACAATGTCCAACTGTGCAAAGAATTCCCGACATTTGAAAAGAGGGTCATACCAACTCATGAAAGCTGTAAGCTTGTCTTTTTTAAACGTGTTGAAAGACTGAAATTGAATCTCTTCAGTAACATAACTAAAATATACACCTGTCTCAGTGGCTGAGACTCAGAAGGCTAACATTTGACCTCGTATTTTCCTCAACAGTCTTGGGACATACGCATCTCTGCGTGGGACTATTTACTGCAAGCCTCACTTCAATCAGCTCTTCAAATCTAAAGGCAATTATGATGAAGGTTTTGGACACAAACAGCATAAGGAATTATGGGCAGGCAAAACTGAATGTGAAGAATCCCTGGAGAAAACTGTCCCTGGTGTAAATGCAACAGAAAGTCCACAAAGCCCAGGAGTGGAGGATGCCCCAATTGCAAAAGTAGGAGTTCTGGCAGCAAGTATGGAAGCTAAAGCTTCAGCTTTGCCTGAAAGAGAAGAGAGACCAGCAGAAACAAAAAAGCTCAGGATTGCCTGGCCACCTCCATCTGACCAAAGTGTTCAAGGAAGTGCCTTGGATGAGGGCATCAAAGTATTCAAACCCAAATGGCCCCCAGAAGAAGAGATTTCCAAGTCAGATGTGCTGGAGGATGTGGATCTGGATCTCAAAAAGTTAAGAAGATCTTCCTCACTGAAGGAAAGAAGTCGTCCCTTTACAGTAGCAGCCTCGTTTAGAACCATGTCTGTTAAAGGCCATAAAACAGAAAATTCATCTTCACCCCCTAAGGCAGAGAGAGACATGCTGAAAAGAAGTGAGGAACCAGAGAGAGAGGTCATGGTAGACAAAAAGCAAAAGGAAAAGAAGGTTGAGAACAGGAACATCCAGAGTGCTGAAGAGATAAATGTAGAGGAAGAACGGGAATTATCTGGTATCAAAACAGTAGAGCATAACTTTGTAGAAAATGGCCAGGTGAATGCAGAGACAGATGAGGAAGAACATGCTATGGAAGAGCAGGAAATTCCAAATGAAGAATTCCTTGAACCAAATTCTCCTAAGCATTCCAGCTTAGCCAATGTCGTGACTGCTAAGGAATCCTCTCCCAACCAGAATCGCAAATCCCAAGATGTTGGTTTCTGGGAGGGTGAAGATATGGAAGATCTATCTGTGGAAGAACAAATCAAAAGGAATCGTTACTATGAAGAAGATGATGAAGAATAAATTGGCCTTTTAACTAGAAAACTCGCTGCAAGGTGCTGGGCCTTTTTAAATTGGTGTTTTTAGCTTTAACAAACAGCTGTCCTCCATGAAAGCGATGCTATGCTGCACATCGACATTAAGGGAATCCTACATACAAATTATCTCAATTAGCAAAATACTCTGGAAGCCTGCAAGGAGTATATTTAGGTGCATGGGAACAAGTATCTGGCTGTGGGATAGCTTCAACAGGTAATCTCTGTCCACAGCACGAGAACAGAGCTGTTCTGTACTCCTACTGTCTTACCCTTTTTCAGCTTCAATACGTATTTCACTAACAATGTACAGAATTTCACTGTTCTCACAATGGTGGTGTGAAACAGGCTTTCTGTAATACACTACTTTTACCACTACAAATGCTACTGCAGTGCTTAGGGACCAATTTCAAAGGGACTTTCTGGCCTGCTTTAAAAACAGTGACTTAATGCACTTTAATACAGGTAAAGGGCACAACTGGGATTTTTTTAATAATAAAAACATTTATGTGCTTAGTATCCAACAACTAAAGCATCTTAAACTGAGCGCAACGTGATTTTTCTTTCTCAAAACTGCCTATGATCAATTGAAGGCTCCTTACCCTCTTTATTTTTCTCTCTGCAACTGGAATGGTGTGCCCATTGCTGGAACGTATGTATTTTGGTGCTTACCCAGAAGCTGTGCTGACTGACAGATCTCTTTGAGGACAAATCAGCACTTTGCAGTAGCCTGCAGGGCATTATTTTTGCATTTCATATGCATTTGAAGTGGTTTTGTTTTTTGTTTTTTTTTTTTTACTTGCAGTTCATCATCATTCATTTTAAAGTGCAGATAATATTTTTGAGGCCTTTTGACAACTTTGAAATCCTACTTGTATCAAGCTGCCATAAATCTTTTCATTATGGCTGTGAAATTATGCTGCATTGCAAAAATCTCTGGAATAAAACCATCTGAACAGTGAAACTTTCTGATTGCTAGCATTGAAGCTTAGTACATTTTTAAACTTGACTTCATTTATTTTACAAATAATGAAACCTTGAACAGTGGAAGGAGGATGCCCTTTTATATTAGCTTTTATTTGTACTGTATTCTCATGAGAATTAGCTCTTAACTATACTTGAGGTGTAAAATATTCTGCTTTCTTAACAGTCCTGCTAACTACAAAATTTTCAATAAAGTTCAGTCATTTACAGTAAATTGAAGTCTGAAGACTGGATTCATATTCGTTTCACAAAGAGACGGCCTTTTAAAGAGACCATGGGAAAAGATGGGTGAAATACTGGTGGTTTTACTGGAAGCCAGAGACCAGACAGTGATTTTTCTGGTGCCACTAGGTGACACTGTGTGTCCACTTTTTTTCTGGTTGACAGTCAAATGGGCAGAATGTGCTCTAGTATGCAAGAGCATGTGGGAGAGGGATTAGAACAGGATGGGCAAAAGAAGTAAGGACGTACAGGTATTTTACAGATCCATTTGCGGCTTCAGGTGGTTCTCAGGCATGGTAGCTGAGGACAACTGAGGGATTTTTTTCCCCCCCTTTTTATAAGCTTCTTTGTATTGCAGTTATCTTCACTTAAACCTGAGGTGGGTTTGGCTGGGAGAGACAGGGGCTAAAACCTCAAAGAAATGAAGTAAGTGTCTTGCAGCAGCATGAGAAAATGCACGTGTGCATGATGTGAATATAGGGGAAGGAGGGAGAGGGAAGGGAGAAGCAGCCCACTATCTAACTGGAAGGTATTAGCAGTTGTGCCTCATGAGGTGTACAACCTACTGCTTCTTTTTCTTTCTTCTTAAGGGAGAAGGTAAGATGATTTGTACAGATAAGAGGTATTGCAAAACGTAGAAAGCTGATGTGCAAGCACATGCTGCTTTCTGTAACCTTTATCTCATCCTAAACCAATCCATTTGGTATCAGATTTCCTCAAATTACTAAGCAATTGGAGATCTTTCCGACTGGAAATGATGCTAAGTGTATTTGAAAAGGAAGGGAAGAATATTTGTTGTGGACCTGGATTTATTGAATATGCCATTAGTTGTTTCTTAGGAAATGCAATTGAGTTTTACAATGCATGCCCAGTTACATGATACTAAAGCAACAGTGGCTGCAGTTACCAGGGACTTTAATGTTACACATTGTGTAATGGGGCATCTGCGAGGCTCTGAGATACAAGGACCCTTATTGTTCACTCAGACTGGCTGAACATCTTCAAGGAGAAGTTAGCACAAGTGATATTTTTAAATAAAGTCATCGATTTAAAAAAAAAAAAAAAAGTGAATAGATCATGAACTAGCCTGCCCTCGAATCTATCAGTTATCATAGTATTCGAGTGCTTAATGGGCCGTTTAATTTGCTCTCAACTGGACAGATGCCAGAAGAGCTATTATTTGAAAGATGGATCATTTGCTACAAGGTACAAGTTGATGTTGACCACCTTTCTGGGGTTTGAGAACCTAACTGAAAAGCTTACACAAAGGGTAGGCTTCGTACTTGGTACAGAGACAGGCAAGCTAAACCACACATTTTTCTGAATGTTTTAAAAGCTGTAAGGAATATCTTAAACTTTGCCAACCAGTATACCTCTTGCTCTCCGTTTTGTGCTGAACTGTTATACCACATCACTGTTTAATATTAGTAAAACCAATCCTTAGTATCTTACCATAAACACTTCACATGAGAAGTTGCACTGTCCTGCTTGCAGCTCTGGGGCCCTTCCCTTCAGAGGCGGCTGAGACGGGCTGAGCCCGACTGAGGAATCATCCTGCCCCTCGGGGGTGAGTGGGAGGCGGTTTACCGGAGTAGCAACCGTCTCCAGGCTGCCTCAGCCGGGGCCTTCCCGGGGGAAGAGACCGGACTCCCCTGAGGAGCGCGTGCTTTAGGCCTCATTAAAGACTGTCTCAGACTTTTTTTTTTTTTTTTTTTTTTTTTAAATAACTGAAACAAAGACCAAAATGTTTAGGATAACCTCTTCCTGAAGTATAATTTTGCTAGCTTTCAAGTTTTTCCATTGTCCTTCAAAATTCTGCAGATCCATCTACCAACATACAGAATATTGGAGCAAGTTTACTAATGCAGAACCTCAGCTCCTTTTTCAATGAGTTGCTTTGCTGGCTGGCTGAGATTAGCTCATCAATGCCTTGTGTGATGCACAGTAAATTTCAAGGATGAAATAAACAATTGGCTACAAATTCAACATTGTGTAAATTCTAATGCTTTTTTAAAAACAGCCATTTCATCTTTGTAGATTAGCACATGCAGTCAAGACAATATGCTAACACTAACACAGTGTCTGTTTATACTAAAACTACAGTTAAACTGACGGGTTTATATGGCTGTGGCATGGTGATAACACAAAAATGAAGACTCTGAAGTACCATTTTGACCTAGTCAGAACCCTCAGACCCATGTAGGGACAAATTAGGTATGTCTCCATTTTGCTTGCGTTTTTCACTTGTTACTCTAGTTTCATCCTGCTTGTTGATATCTCAGCTCTTAAAAGATGCTAATGTATTAAGCAGACTAACTAGGTGTTTGGGAGAAATCCCTTCTCTTCATTAATTGCACAGGGATCTCTGCCTCTCTAATGAGTCTTTGAACATAGACAAAATCTTTTTTGTGGGGCTCTCCGCCCGCGGCGTCTCCCGAGGCTCTTTTTGCGCGGAAAGGGAATATTGTGTAAACCCGGAAAACCTGTCCCGGCAACCGCTCGCTGTCTGTCACGACATACCCAAGCTCGTAGGGCTCCTTTCTCCCTTGGCTTTGGATCCCGAGGGGCCCCTCCAGGGCTAGCGGTACCTCATGCTTAGGTAGTGCAAGAAAAAAGTCTGGGAAATTCCCTTTTATTTCTTCTCCTCTCCCGGAGAACCGCGGCTGGGCGAGTGAAAGACAACTGCCTGCTGCTCTGCAGTTGGTTTGCTTGTGTTGCTGGCCTCTGCCTTTCTTGTGCTTCCCTTGCAAGTTCCTGGATGAGGAAATAGGGCTTGTTCACATGGCCTAGCGTGTTATTAAACAATTTGTGGATCCCTTGCATCTCGGGCACGATGGAAGTGCGTGCAGACGGTTGTATCTGCCCATAAACAGGTGTAATTCAGTATTTCTCATTTACTTGAGTATCCATAAACATAGGATATTAACTCTCCCCTGGGGCAGAGGTTTATCCTTTCCGTGATGTATATCTTTTACAGCCACCATCATGCAGGGCAGACAGTGTGGGTGATAGATACCAATTAGTCAAGCGGCGTATTTAAGAAAACTGTAAGGTGAAGCGGACCAAGATACCTTGTATTTCTGTTCAAGTAGTCCATTAAAGACTGATTTAATCTTAAATTTTTACATTGAAAGGGCAGAAGTATTTCTGAGCATGAAAAGGGCTGTAGGACTCAAGTGAGTAGGAGTCGAGTTGGTTTCGTTCTGTGCGTTTCCTGTAAGAAGTGTGAATTTTCTTGAGGTTTTGGAAATTAGAGGGGACTGGGGCGAAGTAAAAAGATACGTGGAGAAAAATGAAGCAGGTCAGCAGAGTAGGAGAGAAATTTGAGAGGCTCTTTGTTTCTCCACCTTATCTTTCTGCTCTCCAAAAAAAAAACAAACCCCAAACCAAACCTTAGAAAACTACTGGTAGTTCAAACCAGTGCAGAGGACTCGGGAACACACGTGGCAGTTCCAAAATCTCATCTCAGCTTGGTGTACTACTGCTAGGCTTGGCCAAACGTTCACGCTTGCCAGCAGACAAGGAAAGGGAGTTGTGAGACAGTGATACCCCTGAAGGGGATGTTGTAGGAAGCTCTCCTCGCTTTCCAAGCCTTGTCTTAGTCCAGGTGTCTTAGTCTGGGGAAGAAGTGCAAAAAATTCTCTCTTCTCTGGAGTACGAGGTGTTAGGAGAGACGCAGTGCATCCTACCACACCTAGTAACGCAGTCCTGCTGGTAGCAATTAGTGTGTCCTGGTAACGTCTACCTGGTTTGTGAAATTTCTTTTGTGGTGTTAATTTAGGG